TTACAGATGAGAAAACATAGGCAGAAATTAGGTAAGTGGCTTCCCCAAGATCAGGGCTGTGGCTTAAGGGCAGTGTTCTTCCTCTTGGAGGGTCATTGTGGACAGGAAATGAGTGTCAATGACATCACATTCAGCAGAGCACAGTCACCTAGGTTTTGATGTCCTGGGTTCATAGAGTTGGGAAAGGCCAGACCCTGCCCTTGAGGGACTGACAGTCTAGCTCATGGGGTCTCCCTTTGCCACATTCTATTGGGACAGCAGCTCTAGTTCCAAGAAAGAAAATAAGGGTGAATGCAGATTTCCCATGACTCCTCACCCTTTGTTTTGGAGGGAAAAACTGGCTGTTGGAGGAAGAGATGGCTTCTATAAAGAGAATTTTGGGTGCCATGTAGAATTCTGTGGCTGAGAGAGAACTTAGACTCTTTTTGAGATGTGGAAATGGAAGCCAGAGATATGACCAGCCATCTAGTTGGTGGCAGAGGTGGGACTAACTGTAGCCCCAGACCCTCCTCTCTCTTCTCACCTCTTAAGTTTAGATGTTATATGCCTTGTTAGGGTGGGTGAGTGCAGACTTTGAAAATGAAGCTGAGTTCCAGGTCCCTCATTAATCCTAATTTTTTCCCTTTTTTTTTTAAAACTGGTAAAATATATATAAAGTAAAATTGACCGTCAGTCATTTTTAAGTGTCTAGTTCAGTGGTATAAGTACAGTAATAATGTTGTGCGACTATCACCACCATCCATTTTCATAACTCTTTCATCTTGCAAAACTGAAATTCTGTACCCTTTAAACAATATAACTTCCTATTCCACCCTCCTGATAACCACTATTCTATTTTCGGTTTCTACTTAATTATACTTTTTTTTTTTTAATTAGGGGAAGTGGTCACTAACGTGCCAAAGGAATACTGAAGTAAAATGTATTCTCTTATTTTTCTTAAGTTTTTGCCTATGTGTTTTTCTAGGGATAATGAATACTTAGCCTTAATTTGTTCTGAAGTGTTTTTCTTTTGATTTGGTGTAAAGCCACAATTCAAGGACAGGACTGCCTGCTGCCTGCCTGCCTGCCTCCCTCCTGGCCTCTCCTCCCTCCCTCCCTTCCTTCCTGTGTTCAAAACAGATTCTTTCTTTAAATTATTAGATGTATGTTGTGACCCTTTCTCCACAGTAGCTGGATTCTCCTGTTGGGGGGATTCGTTTTTCTCTGTATTATTTCTGAAGCACTGACCCTTGGCTCAGACTTGCATGTAAAAATACTCCATTGACTGCCCTCCATTCATCTCTTCTCTTCTCTTCTCTTCTCTTCTCTTCTCTTCTCTTCTCTTCTCTTCTCTTCTCTTCTCTTCTCAAGCCCCAGTTTCATCATCCCATCTGTTGTGCACTTGATTAGGTCGTAGTCTTCGTGGTGGAATTGATCCCTTGGCAGTAAGAAAGGAGCCAGCTGTTTCTTTAAAACAGAACAAAATAAAACAGGAGTTCATAAGTGTACATCTTTCCCCCAAGTTATACTGGCTTCTCCACATGCAGCCACAGCAAGTAACCCTACCAGGTAGTCACCGTTTCCTTAAGGCAACAACCAGTGGATCATCAAGAATAACACCTGCTTGTGTCACAGCACATACACACAACACATATTTCTGTAGTGAATGGATGAGTCCAATCAGAGTGGCGCTTTGGGAGTAAGAAGGGGGTTAGTTCTACTGAAGGGAGTAGGAAGATGGTCTTTGCTGAGCCCTGACAATGACTGTATTCCTGGCGGAGGGAGCAGTCAGGTTTATTTGAATGTCAATTTGTTGAGGAAGGAAACAGGTGGTCTACAGGACAGCCTTGCTACATTAATTTTATTTATATTTTATCTGTTTGAATAGGTAATGCATGCACAAGATACAACACTTAAGGAGATGTGCATTATCTTGTGCATTATACCAGAGAGATTTTCAGTGCATATTGGGGTGTGTGTGTGTGTGTGTGTGTGTGCGCGCTTTAAAAGTACACTCATACACATAAATGGTTTTCTTCACATACTAATTTTGGAAGTCATTCCATACTACTACAGACTGAACTTCCCAGTTCTTTTTAAACTACTGCATAGTATTCTATTGTATGGCAACTTATTTAACTAGTTTCCCTTCAGTCTTTTGCCAGTACAAATAATGCAGTGAATATCCTGCATATATGTCATTGCACACATGTGATTTCTGAGGAAAGATTCTAGAAGTAAAAGTAGAATTATGTGTATTTTCACAGATTGTCCAAGGAGTTTTACATTAATCATAAAATACTAAATTTATAGCACTTAGCATCTCCTCCCCGGTCCTCTAAAATCCCTGCCAGAGTGAGCTTTCTAAATGAATCTGGTGTCATAACTTCCCTGTTTCTAATCCTCATAAGCTCCACATGGTTTCAGGATACAGTTTAAACGCCTTATCCTCTCCTCTGCCTCTAGCCTCTAGCCTCTGCCAGGAGTGCTGTGCTCCCATTGCTTTGATCCGCTTGTATTTGGTATGTATCTCCTTTTTCCCCCTTCTTTTTCATTGGACACATCCTTTTGCAGTGAACCTAGCAGCACCTCCTCTCTTGCACAGATCATCTAAGCATCACTCTGATCCAGCCTCGTCCATTCACTGCAGAATTATTTGTTGTGTGCATGCTGTGATGTCATTCTCAGGTGTCATTCCTGATGATCCACTGGTTGTTCCTTTAAGGGAAAGGTGACTGCCTGGTAGGGTCACCTGCTGTGGCTGTATGTAAAACAGCAGCACCAGAGGGCCCATTGCTAACTGGCTGGTGGCCCTGGGCATGTCCTTTAACCTCTTCGGATCTTGGTTTGGTATCTGTCAAATGAGGAAGTGAAGCCTGATAACCTCCAAGGTCCCACGGCTCAGATCTTATTATTATGGTATCAACAGCTGGCAGTGTTTACTGAGGACTTGAAAAGTTCAGGCACTGTGTCAAATACTTTGTCTAATACTAATCCTTATATCAACCCTATGAAGACAGTATGGTTACTGTCTCTATTTTACAGAAGAGAACACTAAGGCTTGAGAGAGTAATTTGGCCATAATAGAAGCAATATTTGAATTCTGGCATTCTGACTCTATGGTTCTTAGCCACATAAATGTATACATACTCCACACATTTACATACCCACAGTTTTGTGTACTGTTTCGGGTCACTCACAGACTCCACCCCTAGAACTCTCATGAACCATCCTGTTCTACAACTGTAAAGGCTCAAGTTGGAGTCTGGGTAAAAACTGGGGACAGATGACTACAGTCACAAATATTTGTGGGTAGTTGGTGAGGACCCAGTGTTTAACTCTGTTCTTGGACCCCTGGGTCTTACTCATTGAGGACTGTGACAGATGCTTTTTCTTTGGACTGAGACAGCTCATTGCTGTTTGCTGTTTGTAGTAACACTCTTTTTAAAAAAATCCTTACCCAAGAATATGTTTAGAGAGGAAGGGAGAGAGCAAGAGTGAGCGAGAGGGAAACAGAGGTGAGAAACATTGATTGGTTGTCTCCCTTATGTGTCCCAACTGCAACCTAGGTATGTGCTTCACCAGGAATTGAACCCCAACCTTTTGATGTACAGGATGATACTCCAAAAAAGTGAGCCACCCGGCTAGGGCTGCAGTAGCTTTTTATAAGGGGAGCATAGGACTGAGTCACGGCTACAAGACATGGATTGAAGTCAGGTCTGACAATATCCCTGACAGTCTCAGGGGCATCCTTTATTAGGATTGTAGATGGCAGGCTCCCCTGTCTATTTACATAAGGTCTTTTTAATGGAGACGGAGGTGTGTATGAAATTAAAATTTAAAAAGAAGTGTAATCTTATTTTTGAAATACCTGTTATAAACTAGGATAAATAAAATCAAATGAGTTAAGTAAAATATAAGATCCATATCATAATGTATCATCAACCCAACTCCTTCCCTGAAGGCATGTAGAAAAGCTTTCTTAAAAGTCTTGACCCCTGCCCTGGCTGTCATGGCTCAGTGGTTAGACTGTCAGCCTGGGAACCGAAGGATTGCAGGTTTGATTCCGGTTGAGGGCACATACCTGGGTTTCAGGTTCCCCCCCTCGTTGGGGCATGTTCCGTAGGCAACCAATTGATGTGGCTCTCTCCGTTGATGTTTCTCTCTGTCTCTCTCTCCTCTCTCCCCCTACCCCTTCCCACTTTTTCTAAAAATCAATGGGAAAAATATCCTCCAATGAGGATTAAAAAAAAAAAAGAAGAAGTCTTGAACCCTGATTTTTTTTTTTTTTTAAGATACTGATTCCTACTCTTATGAAGTCTTTGAACTAGAATGGATGGTGGGGCTAATTAACAATTGTAGCCATCCTCCCCCACTCATTATCAGGTATAGCCAACAAGTATGGCCTCTGGGGTCACAGGTGTGTTGCCTGAGCTGTTAAGTCAGAGTCAGATCCTAGGGCTCATCCAGCCTCAGGCAGTTGAGCAGGCCAAGCTAGGGGCCCTTGGCTGCCACTGCTGCATTCCTTCTCTAGGCGGTGTAGTTCTCCTTTTAAGATACGTGTTCTCTCTCTCTTTTTCTTTCGGTTAAGTTGAATTTACTCTGAGGGCAGGTGGCAAAGGCAAAGCCACACTCTGGTATAGCAGTTCTGTGTCAACTGCTGCCTCTCTCCGCCTCTGTGCTGGAGCCTCCGAGGCAGGCAGCCAAGCAGAGCCAGGGCAGTCTCTGAAACCTTTCTGTGACCCAGAGATCTCCAGGTGAGCCCGTGCTTGTCTCCTTGTCCTATCGTAAGGATCTGGCTCCTAGATGCTGACGCTGATGGCAGCTTGCTGCAGGCCCTGATATTTCTCCAGGAAGGAGTTGAAAAGCTACTTATGTGCTTGTCTCTTCTGAAAGCAGGAATTCAGTTGCTAGACAACTTTGTATATGATTATGGCTTCTTTAGAGTAAAGTGTCTACTTGTAAACGTATGGGTAAAGTTTTCACTTCACTTATGTCTGTTTTTTGTTTGTTTTCTATAGGTGAATCTACACCTGGCTGACTTTAGAATTCTTCTGGCTTTTAATTTTTTTCTTTTTAAAATAACTTGGACGGATAAAAGATGTGCCATGGCAGGATAGCACCAAAGAGCACCTCAGCGTCTGCCGTGGCCTCTGTGGGACATGGAGTGTTTCTTCCGCTGGTGATCCTTAGCACCCTCCTTGGAGACGGACTTGCCTCAGGTGAGTCCTGGCCTTCTGCCATTGGTCTGTGGGAAGGAAAAGACACAATACCCTGTTTCTCCTAAAAGCTGGGATAGGGAATTCTCTGTCTGTTAAGCAGTTACAGGGAGAGCAGGGTGGGGGGCTTTTGTGCTGTGGTATCGCAGGGAGCCAGTACTGCTGGTTTGGCACCAAGGGGCCTAATGAACCAGATGGAGGACAGTTGTGTAGGAATCTACTGGTGATGACATTATCACCCCTCTTCCCTGCTGTAGTTATCAGGCAAGACAGAGGTGTGGGATTCAGATTATGATGTGCAGGTAAGGGTGCAGGTTCTCAGAACCAGGTGCCCATGTTCATAGCCCATTCCCTACTACTCGCTGGCTCTGTGACCTGAGCAAGTCTCTTCACTTATGTAAAACCTCAGTTTACTCAGCTGCAGAATGGCAAAATAATAGTATGTACTTCATAAGGTGGTTGTGAAGATTGTCTGAGAGAATGCAATAAGCATTACTGATTGTTAACTTTTCTTAAAAAAATATATTTTACTAGAGCAATGGTTCTCAACCTTCCTAATGCCGCGACCCTTTAATACAGTTCCTCATGTTGTGGTGACCCCCAACCATAAAATTATTTTCGTTGCTACTTCATAACTGTAATTTTGCTACTGTTATGAATTGTAATGTAAATATCTGATATGCAGGATGTATTTAGGCTACCCCTGTGAAAGGGTCGTTAGACTCCCAAAGGGGTCTCGACCCACAGGTTGATTACCGCTGTACTAGAGGCTCGATGCACGAAATTCATGCAAGAGTAGGCCTTCCTTCCCATGGCTGCCGGCACCAGCTTCCCTCCAGCAACTGGGACCCTGGCTTCCCTCTGGCTGCCAGCAGGCACCCGGACCCAGGCTTCCCTCGCAGCCCTGGCTTCGTCCGGAAGGACGTCTAGTCTAATTAGCATATTATGTTTTTATTATTATAGATTGCTTTCAGAGAGGAAGGGATAGGGAGAGAGTTGGAAACATCAATGATGAGAGAGAATCATTGATCGGCAGCCTCCTGCATGCCCCTAATGCGGATCAAGTCCACAACCCAGACATGTGCCCTGACTTGGATTTGAACTGTGACCTCCTGGTTAATAAGTTGATGCTCATCTGCTGAGCCACACTGGCTAGGCTGTTAGCTCTTTATTATTTGTTCTTGTCTTCTGTTTTTTTTCTCAGAATGAGTACAGAGTTAAGGTATTGTAATTTAGTGAAGCAGGACTTGGTCATTGACACTACAAACTTTGTGATTTTGGACAAGCTACTTAACCATTCTGTGGCTCAGTTTCTGCATCAAATGAAGGAGTTGACCTGGATAACCTTTAAGGTCATGTCTAGTTCCCTCAGTCTATACTTTCATGATTCTAAGGACTTTCTGGTTAAAGATTATAAACTAGAAGAGTCTTAATGGACTACAAATGCAGCAGTGAGCCCTTTAGGGTTTGTATGGTCCTTGTTGCCTTCAGCAGTGCTCTAAAAACACTATAGGTTCCCTTCATTTGGTCCTCGAGACCTGGTATCCTTTTTAGAAAGGACATATTTGGGTGTGTATCATAGGCCTCTGGGTGATGCTACAGAACCTGCCTCAGTATCTGCAAACACCAGTAGGGGTCTCAGACAATTATGGTTGAGCTTACCAGAAATGGTGCCCCTATCAGAGTTCATTAGATACGTGTATATGACAGTTTTCTTTGGGCAGCGTTCTCTGGAGAGGGATCTCAGCTAGATTCTGGAAGGGGTCTTGGAGGAAGGCTGGTGTGATACAGTATGACTTTTAAGAGTCTCCATAGTTCAGTGTTATTCATTTCCTTTCTATCAACTTTCACCACCCACTTACCCAACACATACAAATAATGGTGAAATCTTATTCTTTTCTTTTTGCCTTTTCTGAATTGTTGGGAGGAACAATTACTGATTCTTTTGTTATAGCTTTCCTCACCACACACAGATTTCTTCTGCTGATCCCTCTCATTCACCTCATTCTGACTCTTAACCCAAACCTTCCTATAAATCTGAGACCTCATTGTCTATGAGGAGCCCCTGGCACAACCAAGGGGGGCCACAAATGGTTAGGACATGATGGTATATGAGGTTGCAAAGGAAACAGAAGGGCAGCCTACAGCAATGTGCAATAAAATGAAGCACGGGCCTACATTTCACAGGGGCCTTCCAAGGCCAGAGGAGAACCTCTAGAATGGTAGTCACAGAG